TTCTGACTTAACGGATATTTTGATATTATTGACGACAAAAGTTTAAAATCATTGATTTCCTTACCTGTCCATTATTTTTGTTTGACGGAGTTGAATTGTTTGGACCACGTTGCATAAAAAATTTTGTCAAGGTCCTGATGAGAATGTGCAGACAACTGAACATGTGAAAGAAGACCACTGAGTCAAAACCGTTTACAGGTGCAACTATCTACGTTACTGACGTCGACGGACACACACCATTTGTATGTTGTGATTGGATAATTTAAATTAGCAAGCAGTGACACTAGTGAGACTTTATTAAACTAATTTTTTCTCATTTTTTCGTTAAGGCGTGAAATATTAATTTGTACTGTAAATGGTACTTGAAATACTATAATGTACTGAAAATGTACTAAAAATCTAAATGTACTTTCAATATAATGGAAAGGGCAAAATGTACCAGAAAAGTACAAATGTACTAGGAACGGCAACACTGGCTTAGAATTTAGAACATTTAGAAAGCCAGGTTTGAGTAAGATAACAATAAGATATCAGTCAAACGTACCACTTCATGTCAAATATAATGTATTTAAAATGGAATATTTTAAAATAACAAAAAACAGAACAGGTCAAAAAATACAGATATCTGAAGATTTAGCTGAATTAAAAAATAAATTTCTCCTGGCAGGTTACCACAAAGACTGTTAAAAAAATGGGAACTTAAATAATCTTAAAAAGCCACGAGACAATAAAAAAACAAATGATATAAAGTATATCGGCTTTCCATACATCAAAGGACTACATGAACAAATTGATAATGAATTAAGTAATATAAACTTCAAGTTAGCACCGTCATACCATAAAAGTATACAAGGCTTAAGCAGCTCAACATTGAGAAAAAACAACAACTACCAACTGAAACTAAGCATGTAGTATATAAAATTCATTGTACTTGTAGAAATAATAAATATTATATAGGAGAAACTAAAAGGAAGTTAAAAACCAGATTAAAAGAACATATAGCAGATCTAAAATACAATAGATTAAATTTTTTCATAATCATTGCACCCTTAACGATTGTAAAATAGATAAAGTACAAATACTCCACAAAGAAAAAGAAACATACCATAGAAAGTTCAAAGAAAGCCCAGAAATTATCAAAAGTAATAAATGTATAAATAAAAATCTAAGTATTAAAATAAACGAAAACTGGCTCAATATCTTATAAAATTGAAAATACTTTTGAAAAAGATTTTTATGTAGAAAAGTAATTTTGGAAAAATGTTGCTACAAGATGGTCTACTCATCAAGTCACATGAGTGTGTTGTAGACATTGGGCAAGCTTAACTTCAACTGAATAAAATTTAATTCTGTGATTTGCCAAGTGTCTGTACAAATAAGATAAATTATTTGTGTTTGGATTAAAAATTACTTTCACGGTTTCAAAAATACCATAATTATATAATTATACTAAACGAAAACTGGCTCAATATCTTATAAAATTGAAAATACTTTTGAAAAAGATTTTTATGTAGAAAAGTAATTTTGGAAAAATGTTGCTACAAGATGGTCTACTCATCAAGTCACATGAGTGTGTTGTAGACATTGGGCAAGCTTAACTTCAACTGAATAAAATTTAATTCTGTGATTTGCCAAGTGTCTGTACAAATAAGATAAATTATTTGTGTTTGGATTAAAAATTACTTTCACGGTTTCAAAAATACCATAATTATATAATTATACTGATTTTAAAGTAGATGTATTAGCAGTTATTAAATATTCCTATGTTGAATAACTGGTCATCGCTTGAGTAATTTTTTAAAATTATGTTTTAATGTGTCACCAGATGTTTAGCAGCTAATAGAAAAACACGGATATAACAATTAAATAGCAAACTATGTAAAATTATTCATAAAACTGCATTTGAATTCCTACTATTAAAAAAGCTGTAATTTTGCAAGAAATCGAAAACTGCACAAACTGTCCGTTCCTCGAAAAGTTTTATTTTCCATATGTCCATTTTATGAGGAACTTTGTCATAACATTAAAATTATGAGTGTCTTACTGGTTTTTACTGGCTTTATTACTACAACATTGTTCATTATATAGAATAGAGAGAATTTAATGCCAACGAAACCCGCACTGTATCTGCCTATATATGTCTCTTTACTCTTGATGTCATATGCAAATGTTATCGTTTAAAGTAAATCAGTAACAGAGAGCATTGAACGATTATATTTGTTTTTGATGTCTTTTTATTAAAAGAATACAGCATAACAACCAGAGATGAAAAAAATCGCGTTGTTTAAAATAAGCACATCAGATAATTTTGTGACAATGCCGAAAGGCCCTCCTATACTTCGGCACCATAGGACCGAAGGGTCGACATCGCATCAGCGAAGATCGCAATGACAAATTTCGTCAGGACTGACACTACTGTGTCTTTCCGGACAGACACAGAAACCGTTATGTTCTCGCGCAAACGATCGCGTATGTGAGCGAACGGTTTGGGATGGAGTGAGAGACAGCACACTGGAAGTGACTCACGGAAAGACTAGGTCAACGAAACAACGTTTATTTCTAAAGATATAAAACATTAGATTACAATACGAGAGTACACGATAGGGATTAAAATAAGTAAACTTGGGTGAACTTAATCTAATGTCTACGATATTCAGAGAGAGAGAAAGAGTTTTAGTGGTTCCCGCGTTGCTAAATACGTAGAGAAGCGAATGACCATGGAGGTTCACGAATGTCCACGTTCTTCTTCTTGTAGTGAAAGGTTATCCAAAATTTCGGCACAAAATTATCTAATGTCCAGGGGAGATATTCAATTTTGCAGTGACACCGTTACTTATTGGGAAAAAATCCGCAATGGCACTTCTCGAAGACTGGACGAGGACTCCTTATTTCGGCCGTCGATTCGATATCCATCTTTTCTCGCTCGACCTAAAGATCAAAAAATCACATGAAATCACAAAAGTGCGTCGTTTTCATCGTCGGAAACGTGAAATTGGAGATTTTCTCAGGTAGCTGAGGACAGCAATTGGTGAGCATGTATGACGTCGTTGTTGATTAAAATTGGGTCGTTAAAGTTAAATTAAAGTGAGTTATAGTTTGATTCTTACAATTTGAGTTGAATTAAAGCTGTTCCAAGTATAAAGGAAAAACACAGAATATAAAAGTGTCATTATTGGTCTATTTATTTTAAATTGGCAATGTGTCGAATAATGCTAATTACATGCAAGGCTCACAAGTTCCTAGCTTATGTAATTTTACTGATGTAAAGAAACCTAAAGAAGAAGATGACGTCTGTGGAAATCCAGATGTTTTTAGCTTATAGACTAGACACGCATTTCAAACATATCTACTAAATTTTTGTGACTTAAAAATTAAAAAGAAAACGAATGATTTAAGAATTTTCAAAAATTTTGGAAAAACCAATGTTAAAAAATGTTGTATTTGCATCTCACGGATTCAAGGCATGAACTGCGGGATAATACGAAAAAAGACAATGTATTTTTTATCGGACAATGCTGGATTATCGCCTATATTTTACAAACAGGACAGATTACAAAACTTCCTGTATACAAACAATCGTCATAGCATAGTGTACCTTTATTATAATTTCCCCTTACTAATTTTAGGATTTATAAATTATTATCTGCTTTTTTATTAAATAATATATTTACGTTATTATTACCTAATTTATATTATTTCTAATTTATAACGTATAAGATTATTTATATACAATTTAGTTACTTTACGCTTTGAATTTTTAAAAGGAAACCCACCCAACATTAAATGATATATCTATAAACGTACAACCTGGACAATTATTAACTGTTATAGGCCCTGTCGAATCAGGAAAGGTGAATATCTCGTTTTCTGGTTATATATTTAAATTATTTATATGCTTTGTGATATAAAGCTTGTTTAGAATAATTAACAAAAATTTAAAAGTTAACCATTTATGTAATTCCAATAAAATTTATTTTTATATTGTTACACTTAATTGCCACGTTTAAATAATTTTATATGTTTTTGAATAGTTACAGCGGAAATTAGTTACATGATGGAGAAAAAGAGAAAAAATAGTTAGAGAATAATTTGTATTGTTATTGTGTGAATAATCTGTTATAGAATCTAACTTTTCATCCATTTCTTAGTTAAATGAAAATGATTTTTAACAAGTCAAATTTTACGTACAACTGGATCTAAGCATATTTATAATTACATTTCGTAAAATTTATTCATGTAACTTATTTTATCTGCATATGACTCTTATGCGAAATTATTAACCCAATAATTTGCCATTACTTTATTCTTTGTTCTGAAACTGTTATTTTAATCTAATAGCGAACATTCGAATTATTTCCATTTTATGTAGTGAAGTTGTTCAACACGTTCCATTGTTTAAATCGTAGAGTTTAAATTTTAAATTTAATATCGCGGAAACAGCGGTTCTGCCATCAATAAGATGTACACTTCAGTCAAATATGTTGGTTCGCAGAGTGAATGTCTGTCACCGACGGTATAGTATCGAATTTTCTCAACAAATAAATTTATTCTTGTTTTCTTATAATTTTCTTTATATGCTTGGCAACTTTCAAGCAAGTAAATTATTTATAAATTCATGTTCAAGTGTTCATTCCGTAGTATTTTAGTAGTTGTTTACTCGAAACGAAATTCTAATAGCTTTATTTAATGTTTTCTTATGTTTATTTGAAACGTGGTTTTAAGTCGTACCTACATAACTTCTGTATCGGTAGGATTTAAGGAATTATTCTCTATGTTACTAACATTTTAAATGCTTACGTGCTTATATTATTTACACGTATTTACAATAGTCAACAATGATCTCCTGTACGAGAGGGTGATTGCTTCATGAAGGTGCTATTGCTGCCAGAGTCTCGTTTGGTGAAGATTACTCT